ATTCGAAGATTAATTGATTCAATTGTCATGTGATTAAATTTTTTTTAATTAAAAGTTTAATTGAATTAATATAAAAAATTAAATATTTGATTAATTATAATAAAATATAAAAATTATAATAATCTTTTATTATAATTCAAAGACAATTTTTATCAGTTAACCATATTCAATACCATAAGTAATAAATTTAACTATGACCAATATACATTTATGTGTACAGAAATTAAGGGATGGCCGGATCCTCCTTCCGTCAAATTTTTCCTAGCTCACAACTATCCAACACACGTACTCATGGTCTGTGCTGGAAATTAATCCAGTCTGCCAAATTAGTTTCCTCCTTGTCAGTCGATCAGCAGCTCCTGTCCTTTGGAGGAAGCCAAAAGCTTGATCTAGAACGTGCAGGTACAGGCATCCGCACATATAACAACAAGAATTGATGAAGAAAATTTACGGACCACAGCTTCATGGCGGCTTCATGATCATAATTAACTTCAGGAGATCGTAGGACTGTACCAAAAAGAACCCATAACACGTAGTTTTCAAAATTTTCACTACAAGATTTAATAATTTTAGATATAATATAAAAATTATATATATTTAAAAAAATAAATTTCATATTTATTCGTATCGATATAAATTTTTATATGAGATAATTTATAATATATATATTAATTTATCTAAATACATAATACGATATAAATAATATATTTAATTTTATTTTATTATATAAATATATGTGTAATATGTTTAATATATTTTTTATATTTATTTTGATTTAATATAAACATATAAAAATTATTTTAACTTTTTAAATTTTAATTATGATACTTAATTAGTTATTTAATATCATATAAAAATTATTTTAAATATTTAATTATTATACTCATTTAATAATTATTATAAAATTATTTTTATATTAATAATATTAATATAATAAAATATTAATATTAGTCTTATATATTATTATTTTATTCTTTAATCTTTAATAGTTTATCATTTTAAAATTGATACTAAAAATTAATATAGTTATATAAGATAAATTTAATTTAAATATATATATATTAATACATACTAAATGAGTATTAAATTTTTTAAATTTTTTAATATGTAAGTACTTTTTTATATTATTAATATGTCAAATTTATTAAATTATAAATTATAGATAATTTATAATTATTTAATATTTTAGTAATATTCTTTTATATATTTGTGTTAGTTATGTTTATTTGCGCATATTCATACTAATCATGTCTATCATATATATATTTGTATCATTTATGTTTTATTTATATCATATTTAAATGAATTAATTTTATATATGCTAATCGTGTCATATCGCGTATAACACATATATTGAACACTTCGTGTTTATATTTAAAATTTAAATATATTTTATAATTTATATTATATTCGTATTTTAATAAATCGTATCATTATACGTGTCACAATACGAGTCATAAAACGCAGACACAAAATATCAATTCTCTTTTAATTATAAACTAATATAATAATAAACCAAGTAGCTGGTGAACGAGAGCTTTCGGTCCGGGGTTGGCGTGGAAGTTTCATATATTTTGAAAAAAAAAAAAGAAAAACCCAAAATGAACAAGGTAAGAATGCAACGCCATAATTGACTAAGCAGTTTGGGGTTTATAATTCAAATAGGAACATTAAAACCTATATATATTTTAAACAAATATGTGTCTTAGAAGGACGAAAAGTAAACAATTTGCCATTGAAAATTTCCTTTTCATTATTACTTGATTCCAAAGCATGCATCCTTATTTCCTTGTCTCCCCACCCCATTGGTCCTCTAGCCTATACCCTTTGCTCTTTATCGTTTACATGGTAATAATAAGGAAAATTTTCACACACAACTTGCTATATGCTATTCAATGTTTACTATTTTTCAACGACTTTTAATTTATTATAAATTTATTTATTTATTTGTCTAACGACTGGTAATCCTTGACAGCTTCTATAATCTTTGAGCTTTTGTTACTAAAACCACACTTATTTTATTGATAAAATTTTTAAAGAGAAGTTGCTATATTATTAACCATATGTGCACACATTAAAAGGTAAATTTAAGAAGCCTTTTACCTCTATTTTAGTTAAATTATTAGAATTTTTTTCCTTGTGATATATGAAGACTTTGAACTCAATAAAAAATAATATCCCTTCATCTCATAAATATGATTATTTTCGGCTCAAAATTTTTAAGATGAAATTATCTAAGGTTTGGATGTCTTATATATAGAAGATAAATTATGTTAGGGTAACTTAATAAAATTTAGCATTGGTATGAAGATTAAAAAAAATCTTTCTAACTAATCGTGACGCAGATTCTTTCTTAACTATACAAATCCATTTTTGGCATGTTAATAGGCCAGTAAATACTTCAACCTAACTCTATGATTTTTTTCATCTTCGATTCAAAATTATTCAATGATATGTTTCATGAATTAAATAACATTGCAATTATATACATATGCACTCAAGATATTGGCTAAAGCAATCAAAGAGAGAAATTTAGGTTTTGCTTGGTAGGTGTTAAGAGTATTTTATGATGATAAGGGCAGTATAGACTTTTTATAAAAGGGTGATTCATCAATAAAATAAGAGTAATTTTATCATTTCGACTTTAGTTGATGTATTAGACCAACTTGAATTCTTAAAGTTTACATTAGTTTAGCCAACTCGATTTTTTATTTGAAAGTATATATAAATATTGACTTATTACCTTTCAATTAGATTATCATTTATTAAGGCAGGTTGGGCCAACATTATTAGTCTTAAACCTAACTTTTAAAGCTCAAATTATTTATTAGGGTCTGGCACTTTTATTTTATAGATATAAATAAAATTATTTACACCCGAGCATTCGATTTTTTTTCTTTTCTTAAAATTTATTTTATTTTTTTCTCAAATATTGATTTGAATATTGAAATACAAATATCGAAAAAACTTTTGACTTTTAACTAACCTTTTATCTAATAATTTCATATTTTTTGCTTCATCAAGATTACTCAACATAAACAATATGAAAGATAAAAATAATTAAAGATGAAAAAATGTTGATAATTTAATAAATAAATTTTATAATTATTTTATTATTTATATTTTAAATATTAGATTAACAAAACTTTCGTAGTTACTTATTTTCATATTTTTACCGAACAAAATTTAAATCATTTTTTTAAAAAATCACATAACAAGATTGAGAGTTCAAGGAAAAAAAACAATCTCAACAGGTTAGGTTTAAACGAAAGACTTTATAATGCCAAATCTTGAAAGACAGGAGTGGCAAAGATTTTGTCAAAGATATTTTGTCTTGGTTCTTTGAATTGAGAGGACTACTATTAGTGACAAATGACGATATGCTGTGTACCAAACTTCACGTAAATGGAGATTATTAAGCATTTACCTTTCGGTTTTGCTATTTGATACAAGCCTTTGATTCATCACTTGTCCGGATTTGACCATGTGGCTTTAGGGACCCACTACTTTTGGAATTGTCCAGCGCGGACCCATTGCTAGCAGTCGATGATACGGTAAAGTACGACCTTTCTGTACGGAACTTGGACCTGCCACCCGATATTTTATCATAGGAGGAGCCGAGGCGATCTGCCATGTTCTGTACCAATGCTCAAATCCAACACTTGTCGAGCAACCAATTTGTATAAAGAAAATTAAAAAAAAATAATATGATCTATTTTAGATAATAAATAGTACTAAAAAAAATAAAAATAATGATATATCAAATATAAATAATATTCATTATGATTTACCAAAAATTAATATTTTTAAAAATAAAATATTTACTATCATCACAGTATCAAAATTGTTCAAAGTCTATCATAAATATTAGTTTTTAGTTTTATTTTATTTGTAATATGATTAACGGTGTTGTCATATTTTATTTAAATAAAATTTTTTAACGATTTTAAGGATCTATTCTTTTATATTGATTTAATGTATTGATGATTTTATTTTCAAAATATTTTTTATAAGAATAAATTTTGATTAAAAAACTTATTTTTATCAATTAAATTAACACTTATGGATAATTTTTGAGTCATATATATTAGTTGAGAAGTGTATTTTTTTTCTATCAAATCATTTGTTCAATAATCAACACAATTACCTAATTTTAGATGATTTATTAGAGGAAAAAAATTTTATTACAAGATAATTATTGTGAATTTTCTGCATTAGAAATTTTTATAAAAATATTAACATATCATTGATCAACTTTTTTAGCCAAAAAAATTATTATATAAAGATTTTACTGAAATAAATTATTATAATAAAAGATATATTTTTATAAAAATTAGACCACAATTCAACGTTGAACCAAAAGAACACTAAAATCTTGAATATTAATTAAAATATTATAATTATATATCTAATTTATAAATTATTTATGTTTAATATTGTCTTAATAAAATAATCGATTCATATATTATTGAAATAATATCAAAAAATATTATTATGACTTTATCATTCGAAAAGCTGAAACTAAAATCATCAATTATCATAGGCTTAAAATTACTATCTGCTGCTGTATATAAATTTTACTGGGTAAATAATTTAAACTCGTGATAAACCTGAAATTTCTGTTAAATCAAACTTACCCCGTACGTTGACATGCAGTGTGAAACACAGAAATATGCTTGATTCCCTTCGAGGCTTTGACACGAAGAGATGGGCCCATTTCCCATCTTTATGTAGTACCATTGATCTTCACAATGCCACACAGACGAGAGGCAGGATCGGTTTCAGGATAATTAAATAACGCTCTGCTGCACTAAAGCTCCCCGAGACTTGATCTTTTGACTCTTTCTACCCGTTGATTGAAAGTGTGGTAATCCAAGGATACGTACGTGGCCAAACCTGATGCTTTCCTCGAAGGAGCGTGGTGGAGAACAAGTATTAATTCTGCCCAATCAGAAAAGTTAAGGTCCCTGGTCAACATGGGAATTAGAAATTCTAAACTACGGTGATGACTCTTACCAATTCTCCAAAAGATATTTATTTGTATTAACATAATTTAATGAGAAGCTCCGAGAAAATCTAGGCGAATCTACATTTGATCTAACGGACGTATGGCTATCTCTCAATCAGTCTCCCACCGTATTTAAACCACAATTCCGTCTCTTACAAGTTTCAACGCTCTATTGCGCGTGCCATTGCCGCCCATCTCAAACCCTATTTCCTTCTCTGGTTGACCCTTCCAAAGCTCCCCTTCTTTTTCAAACTTTTGAGTTGTCTTCGATTCATTTCATGTTTTTAAGCAGGTCCTTCATCTGCTATTCTACAGCTACCACCTAAGATTTTTGAGTTTGGTTCTTGAGGCAGCCTAAACAGAGAACGAAGAAGTTAAGAAGGTTACTTTATCTAGGAACGTTGAATCAGGTTTCGAATGAAATACTCGGCTGGAGATAGGAATAAGGATGTCAAATATACCAACTTCTCTCTCTGAAGTATGCCTTACTCTCTTTCGCCTTACTATGTCCATTGCCGATCCTTGGCCCTTTTCCTGAACTCCTTCCCACTCTAACAAAACCCTCTGTCTTTTTATCGTACGCTAAAACGAAACAGAGATATAAACACTACAGCCAAAGCTCTCCTCTTTCTCGAAGTTACCCCCGTTGCCAGACACAACCCATGAGAAAGATAAGAGGCTTCAAGATCGGGAAACGGCTTGTCCGGATCTCCAGATGGTTCATCTGCAAATCTCGGAATCCACGTGGGTACCATCGCCTGACGCAAACAGGATCATTTTGCAAGTCGAAGCCTTTCTCCAAGCTTATCGGTTGGGGTCGCCGCTTGACAGAAGGAGCCAAATCTATATGCTCAGTAAAACCCAGGTTGGGTTACGTTCCCATTAGTCAAGACCCAAACAGTAGAAAACTGATGGAAGTTCCGAAAGGACACTTGGCCGTCTACGTTGGTAAAAAAGACGGCGACTTTCATAGAGTTTTGGTGCCAGTTATTTACTTTAACCACCCTTTGTTCGGCGAGCTCTTGAGAGAAGCCGAAGAGGAGTATGGGTTTAGCCACCAAGGTGGAATCACGATTCCTTGCCAGTTTTCGGAGTTTGAGAGGGTCCAGACCCGTATCGCAGAGGGAGCTGGTGGCAGGAAAATGGCATGGAAGCGCCACCATTGAGAGGCTGCTTCTGGTGCTGCTGATGGTGGTAAAAATTGTTGATGATGACGATAGTTACTTCAGGTCAATGATTGTGATAATGATGTTTTTGGAATTTTTGGTCCTGTAGAATTTCTGTATCTTTTCTTTTTTACTCATTATATTCGAAGACTTGGTGTACTGGATTTTCAGGTGTACATGCATATAGAATTTTTTTTTAATGTGCTGTTATAATATGAATTTTTAGATTATAAATAATTATGTCGAAAATAATGAACTATTATAAGTTGTTGAGATGTCTAATGTATTTGTTTTTAAAATAAAATGACCAAATCTTTCCCAACATTACTACCGGAGAGAGAATCTCAGTAGTTGAGAGATGATTGCATATTTGCGTATCAGGAGGAAAAGAGCCAATGCCTTTCAAAGATTCATCCTATCAAGTATAATTTAGGTTATGTATTAGGTGCATTACTTTTGCAAAGATTGGAAATATTTCGTTTCAAGACATTTCAAAAAGACAAAACAAAAGGAAAACAAAAAGAAAAGGCCGTCATAGTTTCTGTCACCATAACTGTCCGTATCACGCATCTTGTAGGTGGCAGTCGCTAATATTCTACCATAACTTGAATGTTTAAAAAATGTATCCTTCGATTGTCTAATGGCCTGCGCCAGTTGCCACCTAAAGCTCCCTGGACCATGCGGTCCATTATTAAGTCCTGCTCATCCAGCCATGTGCAATGCATCTTTGGTTCAATTTACATTTGGGATTTCATGTTGCAGTTACCGATCGAACCCACCTCTATTTTGGTCTAGAATTGCAAACTTTTTAATTTTTTCTGGCAATACCATAAAACCTTAGATTACATACTTCCAAATTTCAAGAAAAAATTTGGTTTTCCTCTTTAATTTGCAGCTTTTAAAAGAAGTTAGACTTTTTTTAGTATTTTAGACCTTGATATCGTAGGTCGTGACTCGTGAAAGCCTTTAATCAAGGATAATGCCGAATCAATGATATACAATGGCGATTACTTTTTATGTTTGAGTCTTCTTTAAGCCAAAACAACTGTTTAGGTATCTGTCTATCACTGCCAGCATATGTGAATATTAATGGATAGAGCACCAAGTCAAAGGAAAAGATTGGTTGAAACTCTGCTAGATTTGACGTTTGTGTAACAAAGTCGGGTTGCATTGGCCCAGTTGAGCAAACTTTTGTTCGGAAATTAACCCCTTCTGTGTTGTTTAACTATTGGCCAGTCAAAAAAGATAATTTTTTTTTAATTTGTAATTTTATTGTAATTTTATCTACAGTACAACTACTCTTTAGCGTATACAAACAAGTTAGCAGCCTAATCTAGAATCTCACAATTTAAATTCCAAGCTTCACATAGTTGTTTGTTCACATCATCTCCTACCATCCGTGTTAGCCTATGCAATCTGTTGATAACTACTTCTTTTTATTCTTTTTTATCACTTGTTCTGATGTTTTCTTCACTTACTTGAACATATTTTGATTCCTTTTATTTCATATTTTACTATTATTGTATTATAATTAATTAATAATAATTTAAAATTATGTAAGATGAATAATAAAAAGTATGCAAAAATCACATTTTTAAATAGTAAATCTTTACATAAATTTTTGTTATGATCGATGACGATTAATTGTAGGATTATAATAAAAAAATTATAAATAAAAATGCTCCTATTTAAAAGATGCTACTATATGATTTATCTCACGCTCTTTTACTTTTTATTTTTTGGGTACATTAACTCATGGTATTTGGACAATTCTGGTGAAATGCAGATTTTATTCCTCTCGAATAGATTGGAGGGGATTCAAGTTTTCTATTGGGTTTAGTCTACTTCGTGAAAGATGATTTCTTCTTCAAGGAATAAAAGCAAGAAGAGGATGTTTCATTAAAGTTTCAACACAGATAAGCAAGTAGGCGAGGTGAGAAAATGAAGGGTGCAAGTACTTGGCCATAAAATTGACGTTATGTATAATTTTAATAAATAAGAAAGTAAAAAGAATTTTCAAAAGAAATTCAACTTTTTAGATTTTTTTTTATTCAATTTCTCTTTATAACTGTTATAATCATAAATAAATAAATAAATATCCTAAAATAATAAGATAAATCTTACGATAAGATAATCTTTATTAAATATTTTAGAATTATAAATATACATATCAACATTTGAGCTTTGAACTTTTCCGGCACTTGATTTGTTAAAGAAAATTAAAAAAAAAATCCGAAAGTGATTGATCACTAGATATCGCTTTTACTACTTGCAATCCTAGTAAAACGTTAGTTCATAAACAAAATTACCTGTTATCAAAATGGGTTCTATTATATCGAGAAATGATGCTTTGGCCAAACCCGGAGTATTTTAGATTGTGAAGAATATTGCTTCTTCCTTTACATCATATATTGCTTTTTCCCTTTCCGAAAAAAAAAAAAAAAAAAGCTGTGTTTGAAGGAGGGATTTAAAATTAAACGATTCGGAGGAGAGGAATCCCGGCCTGACGGATCTCACATACAGTCTTTTGCTAGAAGATAGCCTAAAATTGTTAAAAAGCTGAGTAAAGCCCAATTCCTACTTCTTTGAAAATAGTGGGCTGAGTGTGAAAGAGGCCCAAAATTGAGTGCACAGTTATTGGTTTCGGCTGCAATCTTGCATTGTGAATGCCATAGACAAGACTGGGTTGGCAATGGAAAATCCAATCCAAACAAAGGTTCCTCGCGTTTTATCGATATCCGATAGTGACAAAACGTTATATGGGTTTCTCAACTTTAACGTCAAAATTCGAACGAGGATGGTAATAACAGTCCTCGTCAGAAAATGAATCATCGTACTAAGGGAAATCTTCCATTTTCCGGGAGTATTATACTGCTGAACCATGATTACTGTGTCATTATAATACTAGAAATTTGTCCTATTTGTTGGGCATTATATTGAAAAGTTTTCATAGAAAATTCTCTCTAATGATCTCTTTTGTTAGCGAAGGTGTAACCGAGTCGAATCAAATCAATACAATGAAAATTTTAAATTTGAGTTCGACTCTCAACTCGTAGTTTGATATTTATCTTGAATTCGATCGAATTTTATTTTTTTAGTTGAAATTTGATTCGTAATCGAAATCGAGCTCACTCGATTAAGTTAAATTAATATGTAAAAATAAACTCGATTCTTATACTCGATAAAAGATCGATTATTTGTGTTCGAGTTCAAGCTTAAATTCGAGGATTTTATTAATTACAATAATAAAAATATTTAAATATAAAAATTCAATTAGGCTCGGAAGTTATTTGAGCCGAATATAAGAATACTCGAACTCGGTTCGATCGATGAGTCGAGTTACTCGAGCTTGAGCTCGACTTGATAATAATTGAACCGAATTCGAATTTTTTTCGAATCGAATCCAAGTAGCTTGCGAGTACTAATATATCATTTACACCTCTATTCATGAGTACTCTAGCTTCACTCTTTTTTTTTTAAGAAAAATTTGAGATAAATAAATTATTCAATCTTTTAGATCAGAATAAGATGTGTGATATCTGATAGTCTAATACATTCAAAATAATCTTAACAAATAATTACCGCACCCAAAATCTCTTTATTCATAAGATAAATTTTAACCAATTAAACTAACTACTTATTATTATTATTAGTAGCTTCACTCTTATTTTACACATTCTTTTATTTTGTCTTTCTGATGATATTTCTTGGTTTATCTTGGGTATGTCTTCTCTTCTTTAAAAGTGAAAAGTACCATAGAATCTGGTCTGATTTTTTGCTATGAAAGCAATCTGCTCCCTGCCCACTGGCATCAAGTCATCAGCTGGATAGTTTTTACTTTTTGATGGATGCAAATGGCGTTAAAAAATCTATTATTAAACGTACCAACAACAAACCTTATTGGGAGTTCAGATGATGCAAATGCAATGAGATCTTGGCCAGAAACAAAAGTAACGGAGTCGTGATGCTCGACCTTATGACTATTTAGTATTTACTGAAGATAAAAGTAAAAATTGGAAAGGTGGAACATGAGTGGAAAAGCAATCACTAACTCACTTCTACACCAACAAAACAGAGCACAAAACAAAAGCAAAAGAAAGCAAAGCCAAATCGAAGAGAAAAACAAGGCGAAAAACATGCTGGGGAACCTTCAATCACACTCCACTCACAAAACTATTCAGGCCCTGGGACTCTCTACACTCTTCTTCCTCCTCCTGATCTCTCTCAATTACCTTTGTCTTCTCGTCAAAGCTCATATCTTCATATATGCTGGCTGCTCTCAGGAAAAGTACGCATCAAACTCCCCTTTCGAAGGTAAACTCAACTATTTTCTAGCATCAGTTGTTAGCTCATCCTCTCAAGCGTCATATAATACCTATGCAATTGGAAATGGAAGCTCAACGCCACCAGAAGGCACCATATATGGCTTATTCCAGTGCAGGGGTGATTTGCAGACTGCTGACTGCTCAAGATGCATGGAAAGTGCAGTTAACCAGATAGGCTTGGTTTGTCCGTATTCTTATGGGGCTTCTTTACAATTAGAAGGCTGCTATTTAAGATATGAGCATGCTAATTTCTTGGGGACGCTCGATACAAGTCTCAGGTTCAAGAAATGCGGTAAAAGTGTTAATAACGATGTCGAGTTCTTTAGGCGTAGAGATGATGTTCTAGCTGACTTGCAGGCGGCTATTGGTTTTAAAGTCAGTTCATCGGGTTTGGTTGAAGGGTTTGCTCAGTGTTTGGGGGACTTGAGCTCAAGTGATTGTTCTTCTTGCCTTGGGGATGCTGTGGGGAAAATGAAGAGTTTATGTGGATCAGCTGCAGCAGCTGATGTGTTCTTAGGGCAGTGTTATGCTCGATACTGGGCATCTGGCTACTATGTTGAATTCTCTCCAGGTGCAATTCATATCCTTATAACTCAATAATTTTTACTATCAGAACAACTAGAACAAAGGGCATTAATTTGTTAATATATCTTTTGTATTAATGTAATAAGGTCATTGTAATTAGCTCAATCTGTCGTGCCTCCATTTCATATTTCATCTTTTCTCTTTTCCTATAATTTATTCAGGCTATACTACTATTTTTTTTTTATTCTGCTGTACTAATCACACAGTTAGTTAAATTCCTATTGATGGATGAAAAAGAAGTTATTCCAATAATCTTCATCACAAGGTCAATTCCACGTTTGCAGAAGCCATCATCTCCCACTTTCATTCGAATAAGAACCATATACATGACTTGCCTCAAAAGCTGCATTATTATTGGCTAAGAAGAAAAGCAGTAGAGGAATATTGGCATAACCAATTCTAATTTGTACCCGAAGTCGTGCAAGGAAAGATAAAAGATTAATTCTACTAAAAGCAGTATAGGACTAATTTCAATGACTTTTGCTTTTTGTGTAGATTCCTCCGACGAAGATGATATTGGAAAAACAGTAGCCATAACCGTCGGTGTATTAGCAGGTCTAGCCTTTTTTATCGTTCTTCTCTCATTTTGCCAAAAAGCAATGGGTAAAGCTCTATTTCTAGTTCATCTAATTTTCCTTCTCGATTACCTCTCCATCATCCTACTTGTAGAAATAATAGCAGTGACCCTTTTCTTTTTCCAGAATGAGATGACAAGTTTTAGGAGGATATAAAACCCTGCCCTGCTCGCAAGTTTAGACTGGGGGAGATGCGGTTTTTTCAAGAGAACTGGTTAATATTGGCTTTTTACATAACCATGGCACCTTTGTCAGCTACTTTTTTATTACCATGTGACATCTCGACTTTTGTTTCAAAATCGTTTATAGACAATTATATGATACTATAAAAGATGTTTATTTGAGGAATTTCACTACTTTCCGTTACTATATTGACTTACGAAATCCTTTCCCTGAAAAAAAAAAAAAAAGTCAAAGCCCTTGAAGGCTATAATTAACTATGTAAACCAAACCAAGGCTTCTTTGTGGAGTGGGTGAAAATTTTGTTTGGACACGATTAAGAACCCGGATTTAATGAGGCGGCGGCGGAGGACGGTGCGGCCTACAAACAGTGTCCTTGAATAAGTGCCTAAAGAGACAGATAAGAACAAAACCTTAACCAGTCATATGCTTGCAACAAAGTGTTAAATAAAACTTTTAGTCAAGTGGTTGACAAGAAATATATTTTGATTGATGATATTGATACCTTAACTACCCATGGACTTCCGGTATACCTCTGCATGCGTCTTAAAATAAGTGAATATTGGCAGTCAACTTATCTAAAACCTCATCATCCAAAGGGGAAAGAAAAAAGAATGATAGAGATTAAAAATATATATCCGTACAGTACGCGCACAAAACAATGAAATTCAACTTTATTATTCATAGATTAAGATTACACAAAAGAATGACAACTATGTATGAAAGAAGCATTGTGGTACAGCATTCCCTTCCGGCTTTTACGTAACTATTATTTATTTGTTTGCCTGCCGTAGTACTTGAATTAATTCAATATCATACATATATAATTGCAACAAACTAAAGGCCAGATGCGAAAGGCACACCAGTGGCAGGCAGCCAAAAACTTCCGGCAATGAAATTGCTAACGGTGAATTTTGATGCCTCGCTTGCACTAGTAAGAACATGGTAGCCGGGCCACCTGACTCTATTGGATGTGGATGAACCAGGGCCGGTGTTCATATACTCTGCATAATACAATGTTTTGAGTGCAAAATTACCCTTCCACTCCATCCAACCAGCCGGGTTAATCAAGCTATCAAGAAACGTTTTCATGAAAACAGTCCTCGAATATTGTTGCCATGGCCTCCCTAGGAATGTTTTGACTGAGCTTTGTACTGGGATCAAGTCGGAAGCAGCTGTAACTCTAGAATTGTGGATTATAATTCCACTGGTATCATTAGGGTCAGTCCTGCCCTGGGCAGTCACAGTGTTGGTCTTGTTAGGGGGATTGCGTGCAAATATGTTACAATTTTGGAAGACAACAGCAGCATTCCCAAATATAAAATCAACAGTTCCATAGATGTCACATTCTCTGTAAAATTGCCTCCCGGAATGGACAAAGAGAGTGTCTTGGTATCCTTCAAAGCTGCATTTATAGAACACTGAAAGATCAGAGCCGGAACGTAGAGCCACTGCCTGATTATTTTTGGGACCAGCGGTGTTTCTGAATGTAATGTCACGAGCAATGAAACCATCTCCAACACTAGCTGAAATTCCACATTTCAAGAAAGAAAAACAATCTCTTTTAGTCCATCATTCTTTCATTTTCAATCTACAATTTGACCAAAAGGAACTTGCCGATCAAATCACATCAATCAAATTGATTATTCATGCATTGTTATATATAGTTTTCAAGTTTCCTTAAGCTGCTATAGCCTATATCTGTTGCATATTTGAATATCCCTCAGTCAAATTTATTGAAAGGTAAAAACCCAATTACGTGATGCCGTTATTAATAAGAACAACCTGTGTTTTATCCACTAAAATAATTTTGTTTAAGACCATAAAAACCATACGACTTTTTCTCGATTCTTGGGCCACTGTTTGAAAAAACTGAGCTTTGAATGTGATTTTTTGTCATTAAAGAATTCAACGGACCCTATTTGCAGCCCAGTAGGGAGCAAGGAGGGATAGGACCATCCAGAATTCTGTAAATGACATCATAATAAAGGTACGTGTCCTTCAAAGGTCATTTTTCCGACCAAAGTGCACGATATCAAATCTAAAGAAAATCATAGGACAAGCCAAATTTACTCACCAACACTGGCTGAACTGAAAGTCGTGGATCCTCCTCCAACGCTTTTGCTTCCGGTGATAATCGTCTGCCCTATACCATCGCCCACCAGCATAATATTTTTCAGATTGGAGCCTATCTCAACATGTTCAGTGTATATACCTGCCTTCACATAGATCACATACCTTCCACTCCCAGATCGCTTAGAAGCAGCGGATAGCGCGTCTTTTATCGTCTTATAATTCCCTGAACCATCTTGTGCTACCACGATATTCGCACTAGAAGCTGGTGATGAAGTCTGCAACAGTTTCCTGTCACCGGGCTTCACCCATGTCGGGAACCCATCTTTGTAGGTTGGTTCCTTGAAAGTTGCCTTGTTGAGAGCCAGAGTGTTACTTATTAACTTGGACACGTTATTTGACATCATGGGTAGAATATAATCCGGGACCCCGAGTTCGATAAACCCGGTCCGGCATGTTTCGAGGTTGGTTAAAGCCGTGCTGAGCCATGTTTGAGTATCATCTTTGCTGAGATTGGTGCTGTAATCAACAGTTTTATTGAGGAGGAGGATGGTTAGTTCATAGAGCTGAAGGCAATCGGCCCATGCAGCCTTTTCAAGCTCATTTCGGCATTTTGGGCCCAATAAGTACATGTCATTTTGTGCACTTGTGGCACGCTCTAGAGCGAGTTGCATGGAGATTTTGAGAAAATCAGGCTCATCTCTGATTGTGGTGTTTATTGGATTTTGGCTCAAAAAATACTCACATGGTTGAGGGTTGGGAGTTTTGCTGCACCATGACTTCACATTGTTAGCGTTATAGCCCAAAACAGACGGCAAAAGGAAAGAGGACACTAGGAAAACTGAAATGAAAAATTGAGGAGGTGCCATTGATGGCTTACCAATGTCTTTAGATCACAGCAAATCAATGGATGATGGAAAGGTTAGGGTTCACGTAGGGTATTAGTGCTCTCTCGGTCTCTTTATATAGATGTTAAAAAAACAGGTGGTTGATGTTTGGGTACCAAAGGACGAAAAAAATTCTGTTCCTAATAATAATTAGTACAAATTGTTTGATGACTCTTTGCAAGTAGTTTTTATGGTGTTTTTGGGATTAAAATTTGTTAATTGCCTTCTCTAAACGTATGACTTAGAAGAAAAAATAAAAAAGAACGCGTTGTTGACTTTTTCGTTTACATGCAAATATTCTTTAGATTATAACGAGTAAGGAGCTTCGAAGTTTATTAATAGAGATATTTTATATAAATATATAAAAATCAAAATTTTTGATAAAAATGAAAAAATTTTATGTGGACAACTTAAAATGTCGACATATGAACGATTTTAAAAATTGTCACATGACATCTAATAAATACATTTTATTTTATTTAATATATTTTTAATTTAAAAATAATTCAAAAAAATAAATTGATTATATTTATGCTTTCATTCTTAACTTTAAATCACTTTCAATTCAATTCATAGTAAAAGTAGTAAAATTTTAAAAGTTTCTTAATTTGACAAATAAAATCAATCAATATAAAATTAATAAATACTACAATTACAATTATAAAATAATAAATTCTCTAATCAATTATTTGATACACTTATATTTGATTAAATATAGTATTAAGTAATTGATGTATTTCATATGTAAATATATAAAGCAAATATAATTCAAAAACCTAAATTGATTATATTTATATTTTTATTATTGATTTTAAGTTACTCTGAATTCAATTCATATTAAACGTACTAAAATTTTAAAAAAAATTATTTTGACAAATTAAATTAATCAATATATAATAAATAAATAAATACTATAATTACAATTATAAAATAGTTGATTCTCTAATTAATTATTTGATACATTTATATTTGATTAAATATAGTATTCATTTGAGTAATTAATGTATTTCATGATGTATTTTATGTGTAAATGTATAAAGTAAATATATCAAATTAATTCTTCATAATTAAATTAATGGAATAAAATGTTTTATTAATTTATATTTGATTGATACATTTATATTTCATTAAATATGATTTCATTTGATAAAATACTAATGCATGTTGATTTCATTTATTTTCATTTATAACATTTTATAATTTTATAATTTGATATTATTATACGTTGATTTAATTAAAATTTAATTCGTTTTATTGCCATAATTAACTACAATAAATTTAATTTGTTTTATTCTTCTAAATTAAAGGATCTCTAAATGTTAGTGCCAAAATAAAATATTTCAATATCAATCAATTTGCCATTATTAGACCATTATTTACTCACAATTTTTGTTATTTCAATATTAATTTTCATAATTTAAAATTATCTTATTAACTGACTATATTTATGTTTTTACTATTGACTTTAAATCACTCTCAATTCAATTCATATTAAAAGTATTAAAATTTTAAAATTTTCTTAATTTGACAAATCAAATCAATCAATATATAATTAATGATTTAATAAATACAACAATTATAATTATAAAATAATTGATTCTCTAATTAATTATTTGATACATTTATATTTGATTAAATATAGTATCCAATAATTGATGTATTTCATGTGTAAATATAGAAAGCAAATATATCAAATTAATTCTCCATAATTAAATTAATGGAATAAAATATTTTATTAATTAATTTATATTTGATTGTTAGATTTATATTTCATTAAATATGATTTCATTTGATTTAATTTGGTAAAATATTAATACATGTTTGATTTCATTTGATAAAATATTAATGCACGTGGATTTCATTTGTAATATTTTATAATTTTAAAATCTAGATATTAATATACGATGATTTAATTAAAGTTTAATTTGTTTTATTGCTATTATTAAATACAATAAATTTAATTTGTTTTATTGTTTTAAATTAAGGGATCTATAAATGTTAATGGCAAAATAAAATATTACAATATCAATAAACTTACCATTGTTAGACCATTATTCACTCATAATTTTTATTATTTCAATATTAACTTTCATAATTTAAAATTATCTTAATAATTAACCTACAACACACCTTTTGTACAAGTAGCTCTAGGGTAAGTATAATACATCTTTAACCACCTTTCACTAATTTTATATATTTTGATCACTACTAAACTCTACTTCAATTTTTTTTGTGATTTTTGCTTTGAATTGTTTCTCGGTCTATACTGTTCAAAGGTTATTTTCTTTTATACTTATATTTTATATTTATTTAATTATGATATTAGCTTTTTTATTTTATTTTTTGTTGATGATTGATTTAAAGATGATTAGGTATATAGGAAAAGTCTTTTACTGATAGAGTCACTATCATGAAAATTAATACCACTTTTGGTTGATATTATATGTCATGTGGGTGTAACAAGAAACTATTTGAAGTTGATGAGAAATTTTAATATTATTCCTGCAATGTTGATGTCCATAATCTAACTCCAAAGTAATTAGTATTTTTTTTATATATTTGATACATAAGAAAATTATTATTCCATAATGATAATAAAAGTATTTTAAATTATTATAGTATATTTATAATTGTAGAATTTTATTTTTTTTTATAGGTACAAGTTGAATATTGAGATATATGATAATTTTGGAAGGGCGATATTCGTACTGTTCAATATAGAAGTAAAAGATTTAATTAATAGAGATATTGACGATTTTTATGAAAAACCTATTAAAGTATTTAGTTAAAATTTATTTTAATATTATTTAATATTTAAATTAATTAAATAATATATTTATACTTATGATTTAAGAAAATAGAGATTATAAAATCCAAGAGATATTTGAATATCTTAGAGGTTAAATTTGTGTGTTCGAGACAAGGGCAACGAAATATAATCTTAAGACAAGTAGTACCAAACTTACAGTAAATAAGGTGTATGATTTTGATCATAAGCTTGAATGTAAAAAATTATTAGAAGAGACATGTATAAGCTTATTATAATGATTATGTTTGTTATAAAGTTATATAGTCTAAATTATTACTCAATTGTTGTCAAATTACAGATTATTGTTATATCTATCTCTTCACATTCATTTGTGAAATTTATTGGCTCATCAAGTAGAATGACACCTATTTTAAAAACAACAAGAAATATTGGAGAATTAATTGTTGTATCTTTGATTCAACAATAATTTATGAAAGAATATCTTATGAAAAAAATTTGTATGCGAAATTAATTTTAAAGATAAAATTTTTAATTTTTTAAAATCGAAAACATTATTTTTTTTTGTTTAAAGATTATTTGAATTCAATAAATTATAGTTTGAGTTTTTTTTTAGAATTGATGGTAATTGTATAAGTATATTCATTATGTAATTAATTTATTTTATTATATTAAAATATATAAATTTAAATAAAAATAATTATATAAATTATGAGTTATTCATAAATTTCATAATTTATATTATTATTAAAAAAATTATTTATATAAAATTTATTGATATATATATATATATATTTATATGAATATATTTATTCGCACATCGCGTGAATTTTAATCCCATGTATAACAGAAGAGCCTTCCTCTTATTGTAGCGAGCATGCAGTTGCCACTTGTGATGATCAAAAGTCCTAATGATTGAATCATTCATTGCAATTCTTTATTTAATTCCCTGCATGCTCAATCTATGGGTAACTATTTTTCTATACGGTCAACGGCAATAATTTTTTAGGTTTTATTTAATATTAATTCTAATTTATTTGTTATATTAAAATTTTACTTTAGAAGTTTTTCTCTTAAAAATTGAACCCGAATTGATAACAAAAAAAAAAAAAAAAACTCGTCTTACCAATTGAGCTAACACTTTGTGGGTGGAATAAATGTACATGTTTTTTCTCCTTAATTCGGTAAAGTCTAAGAACATATATATGTAAAGTATTCACAATGATTTGCGTGAACAATTTAAAAAAAAATTTTAATCGTAATTATAATATTTTTTTTTGAATCGTAATTATAATAATAATAATAATTATTTTTTAATATAATCATAATCAATTTCATCGTTCATATAAATGATAGTTATATTTGAATAAACAGTAAGATTAATTTCAATGAAATTAAAAATAAAAAAATTATTATAGTTACGATTGAAAAATTTTTATTGTAATTATAATTAAAAAAAATTAATGAATAATTTATATTAAATAAATGTCACTGAAAATAAAATTTAAATTTAATTAATAATATGATAAATTTAATTATATTACACCACACTTACGGTGGAATCCAAGCTAAGGCTTAGAGTGCTTGCCAGCTTTTAAAGTGATCATAGCTTCATAGTCAATACTTTGTAGGAAATTTAATTGACTGATTGTTTTAAACTTAAATTCACTTTTTTTTTAATATTTACACGTTTCAATATAAATTATAATTATAATCAAATAATTTTTAATGTACATGAATTTTAGTTATGCATTATATATATATATATAAATAATTAATAAGATTGGTTTGACCCATTGTTTTGAACTCAATTTTGTTTGTCTGATGAGTGATGGATGTATGAATAATTAAATACTGATCATGGGATGAAACAATTCTTGTATTACATTGGGGGGAACAGTTAATTTTTCAACATGAAATGAAATGGTGACGTGTTAGAAAGAATGTCTGAATTAAAAACTAATCCAAATGGCCAACCATGGATGATGCAGTTTGACTTTCGTAATCCATGTCAGTTTATTATTCCCATCCATTCATAAGAAGACTGCTTAAACACCATCGTTATCAGCATTAATTGAGAATTGAGAATTGATTTTGATTTTTGACTGGCAAGTTGCGCTTAATTCCAAAGAAGAGGGTTTGGTTGAAGGGTTTGCTCAGTGTTTGGGGGGACTTGAGCTCAAGTGATTGTTCTTCTTGCCTTGGGGATGCTGTG